TTCACCAAAAAAAAATCACTCTAAATTCTCACAAATACAAATGTTGACTATGTTGCTAAAAAATGACCTTCACGGCTTCACACGAACGTATACGCACAGATTTAATAAATAGTTTTATACTTAGCAACATAGTGAACGATCAAAATTGAAAGATCTATATGAATGGTCTTAAATTGAACTCCGATAAGACCGAGTGGTGGTAGGTTTATGACTAACCCTGGCTGGCGAGCTCCAATATTATCGTATAAACACATTCATAAATATATAGACTATGTAATCAAGAGAGAAAAATCAATGGTCACGACAAAGAGTACTGTCAAATAAGTAGTACTTAAACAGAACAGACCCTTAAGTTCCAAACCTTAACAGAAAGATCAAGACTTCCACTATAAACCATACAAGAATTCACCGAATCATGACTGGAATTAGAATCAGAGACCGAGACGGCCAAACACTTAACAGGCTTGGTATGTCCTTCCAAAACTGCCAAACAAGAATAACATTCTTTCTCCATTAGTCCTCTCCTCCAAACCCTCAAGGTCTTATCCGCTGATCCACTGAACACCAAATCAGACGCAACCGCTAAACACAGAATCGCCTTCGTGTGTCCCCTTAAAGCTCCCACAACAGTCATATGTGATTCCTCACCTCCGTTGCTTATTCTCTCCCACACAAGAATCGATCTATCGCAAGCTCCTGAGTAAAGAACCTTCCCGTCTTCACTAACCGCCAAAGCGTTCACTGCGGAGAGATGTTTCGTAAGAGTAGCGACCAGAGAGTGTTTCTTGTCCTTCTTGTTCCACACTTTGATCTTCTTATCTGCCGATCCAGTGTAGACAAACCCGTCTCGAGAGACCACGATGGCGTTAATCGCGTCGTCGTGAGCCTTCTCGATAGACTCTAAGCATTTGAAATCGGATGTTCTCCAAATCTTGAAACTCCTATCCCACGAGGCAGAGTAAAGCAGAGAGTCGTCTTGTGACAAGGCCAGAGATGAGACGGCGTCCACGTGGTGAACCCATGTGCACTTCTTGTGCCGTCGTACTTCCACGTAGCTTTTCCGACTGAAAAGATTCGTGAAACGGTCTTTCATCGTCGGAAGGGTCGCCACGCACTTGTACTTTTGATGATCTCTACGACTACTCTCGTCGATGATCTTCCATACACGGATCTTGTGATCTTGATGAGCGCTTATTAGCTTGTCACCGAGAACAACCAACGACTTAACCCCTCCGTTTCCGATGGCAACTATGTTACGGTCATCATCGCCGGCTCCGGTGGAATATTCCGGCGGTTCTTGAGGCCATACACGTATCTCGCTGTTGGAAGAGCCGGTGAAGAATGATTTTCCGGAGAGAGCAAGAGAAGAGACGTATAAGGAGTGACATTTGAGTGTGGCTAAGCACTTGTGATGGACGCTAGTGCTTTGAGGCGGAGAAGAAAGCGAAGGAATCAATGGGAGACTTGGTTGAGACAAGAGTGACGATGACGTGGATGATTCTGATTGGATATGAGTAGATTTCGTTTGACATTCTGATCTCGATTTATTGCAAGGCAGATGACAAGAACATGGGAGTAAACCCATTGTTCTTGATCGTGCTAGAGAGG